TCACCACCCTGGAGGTAATTAAGGGACCTGTGCTTAGGGACATGGTTTGGAAGCTGTACATATCCCTATGTCCTTTCATTTTATCCTTACTGTGAGCACTCCCTGCTGTCAGGGTGATGAAACCAGTCACTGCATTTCTCCTCTACTTCCGTGTAAAACCTCCACAGGTCTTACAACTGTGTTTTCCTCAAAATCCAGCTTCTTCCCAGTCAACAGTGTCTCCTAAGTGCTGGTTCCTTCAAGATCTTTTCTGACCAAATCTTTTCTCTCCTCTTCGGTTCAGCCTGTCCAAACTGTTGCCATCAAAATATTTCCCTTTTCTCACTGCTCTGAGCATGTTCCCCTCCTTCTAAAACCTCAGCATTGACTTATTTCCCCCATAAAATTCAAGCCAGCTCTGGTTAACTCTGTTATTGCTTGGTTCTGACTCCCCTCCTCTTGGAAAGCCTTCTCATCTCCAGTGCTGGGAATGCCTGTGCATGGCAAGCAGGGGATGTTGGTCTTAATTTCCTTCTTCAACTTTCTTCACTGAAAGGATGCTCTGAATCTAAAACGTATGGTAGATTAAATTACTTCCAAGTCCTTCGTTTGTTACAGCAAATGCCTGGAAATATTTCCCAATCAATCACCAAAAGCATTGAGAATGAAGATTCAGCACAATTGAATTGATTGCTGTGCCAGTGCCTCACCACTCTCACAGGGAAGAATTCATTCACAGCTTGAAGGATCTGTTTTTCTAATAGTATCTGTTTTTCAAATCCATGTCATGCAAGCCAGTGGCAAAAGGTCTGGTTCTCAGAGTGTTACTAACACTTATAATTGCTTGTAAGAAGAACTGTGTAAATAATGGAATATTTTGTTTGCTAAGAATTCATTAAAAATTACTCAGCTCAAAATAACCAGGACGAGTGGATTAAAAAGAAATCGCTCTCTTCAAAAACATTATTCTAAAGGAGCATTGTTGATTAAAAATTCTTCAAATAAAACCAAAAAGTCAAGAAAAATACATTCTTTAAAATTCTGAGATGAAACTTGAATCCTGTTAGAGCACTCCCGTTTCCTTTCCAATGCAAACAAATTAAAACATCTCTGTTGGGCTCAGCCTGTGTTTTTGTCCTTGCCCCATGCAGAAAGCTAAAAAAAAAGGGCATTAATTTTTCACCTATTTCTCCCTGTGGTGCTTCCAGAAGTAGGAGTTAAGTGGCCAGCAATGCCTCCCAGCCTGTCAGGAGCGATGGCTTTTTAGGCCAGAGAGAACCTTTGGTCTCCTGCACAGCAAGAGTGTGACAGAAGCGCTGAGCTATCAAATCAGTTATTCTGCCAACATCTTTGTGGTTCACTGAGGAGTGAATTAATGTTCCCTAGGAGTGCTCCAGCAGCAGGGAGAGGCAGCACTCACACTGCCCTGGCTGGGCAGGAAGGGGCTGCCAGGAGTGTAAGTCATGGAGAAATAATTCATCTTCCTTGAGGAACCTTGACGGATCTACTTCACAGTCCAGCAGAGACCTGGCATGTCTGGGACTGGCACCAGTTCCCCGGAGTGGGCACCGGTCGGAACGTCTTGGTGAGGGAGCTGCTCCAGCAGAAGACACTGGGACAGGCCTTGGGCCACCATCATCTCCAGGAAAGGAAACAGGGAGACTCTGGCACACTGGCCGGGGGATGTCACCAGTCCTTCTGCCCCCCAAAACTTAAGAGAGTCCAGCAGCTCCAGTGAGAAAACAAGAGACACACGTCATGTGGTGCAACAGAGGATTCCACACTGACCTGACATCTGGTGCCTCCGGTTCAAACTGCTCAATGAACTGCAATCTCATGTATTTTCTGTGTGATTTTTTCCCAGTTGATCCTTTTCTTTTTCCACTGTTCCTACATCTTTCCTGGTTTGCACATACCTGTTGGATGTTTTCCTTGCTTTCCTGAGGTGACGTCCCTGTAACTGCTCCAGTGTTTCCCACCAGTCGCCCCGAGGCAATAAGTGCTTTGCCACAGGAATATGTGCAACCTTGGGAAGGACCAAGGATTTCTGTTCAAGACCATCTGGTCATAAAACCTGTATTTATCGAAACCCCAGAGCACTCAGGTTTTCAGGGCATTTTCTGTGTAGACCTCTGCTGTAAATGGCTGTTGCATTTGTTCATGAACTAAACATACAATATTCCTAGCAGCCCTCATAATGAGCAGTCTACACGAATGACCTTTTGAAAGCTCTCTGACTCCTTCAAAACATAAGCACATTGAAAATCTGTATTTGCAAGGTCAGTAATAAAATGAAAACCTCACTTTGGCTGTCTAAAAATAAAGCCTTGCAAAGCAAAGACCCGGCTGAATAGCAAACTCTTGAAATAAATACCATTTCCTTTTGCCACAATAAATGTTTCAGTATAAAGTGGAATATATAATTCGTTCCACTGATCTGTAACATTTTATTGAACTGCAGGAACTTCAGGGGAACAGCTCTTCAGTTTCTTTCAGGCTTGAAGCGCTCTCTTGAAAACCTGGAGAAGAGAAATGTGCTCTGTGATGGTTTTTAAGCATTTTTTTTTTCGTTCATTATTAAGATCTGACTTCCTTCAGCCACAGATTCATTGTTTCTGTGGCCTTAGCAGAAACCTGAAGCTCTAACCAGCTTTTAGAACTTCACTTCGAGGGCCAGATCCTTGGCTTCCATCCTGCCTGCTTTGGTCTGCTCAGGAAGAATTTGAGTAAAGTAAGGAGTGCTTAAAGGCAGCTACAAATTAAGGTTTTCTTTCAGCTCAAGAGTGGGCTACACTTAAGAGACAATTGTTATAAAGAGAAAAAATCCTCTGAACTGAAGTGTTTCCAAGCTACTCATCACTTCCTTAGTACCTCCTCTTGAGGAAATCCAAGTTCTATGATACCTGATCTTGTAAACAATTATTCTCGTTCCTTAGCTGCTATGATGAAATTCACACTTGATATTTCTGTAGGAACTCCTTGTCCCCTTCTTAGACTTGGTTTGGGGTTTTTTTCAGATTGGGAAACGGGGGAAAAAAAGAGGAATTTCTTTTTTTTTTTCTTTTTTTTTTTTAAATCTCAGCTTGGATCACTCGTTCTCATAATGCCTTTTAAAAAACATCAGCAAGAAACAAAAGTGAATCGAAATTTTGAAATTGATTTTAATAATTTCTTAATCTTTTTATTAAGTAATAACTCTATGGCACGGTAATAGCAGATACTTTGGGCAAATGCTTGCTGTCAGAATACACTACTAGGGAAAAAAAATTACATAGGCCAGGGGAATATGCTTAATTTCTTCATGCCCATTATATCTGGATAAGGAACCTGGCAGGTAAGTCCCCACAAATACAGTCATCAGCCCACCCTGGGGTTTCAGCACTGCTGATTGTGTTTCTCATGCAGATTATATACAAAATGATGCACAACTTGCATGTTATACTTTTGTTAGAGGGGACTCAGAAATATGCTACTGTTCTGGATACTTTTTAATGCACATTCCCCTCACGGGTGTGGGAATAGATCCATTCTTGCTGGTCTAAATTGAAATATCCTCCAGTTTCTCTGTACTGACACTGCTGCACAGAGCGTTTCCCTGGAGAGGGACTGATGGAGTAAATGCTTTGTACTTGCTCACGAGTTCCAAAGGCTCCCTTTGCTGCCACCTTTATGCCGCGAATTCAGTGTATTTGTGAGGCACGGCTGCCTCACTCTAAGGAAAACTACCCTCAGCATTCCTGTTGTACATTCGCGTTCCTTTCGTGAAGAGCTGACAGGTTCTAACTCTTCCTGCAGGGCCACAGCTCTGGGTCCTGATTCTAGAAACTCCAGAGATTTCACGTACAGGAAACCTTTGGGGATGTGTTTTGTCTGGGTGTCTTCTCACGCCTCAGAATAGGGATGGAGGTGCTTTGTGTTGTGGAGCTCTAATTGTGCCCAACTGCTCTAATTGTTCCCAGCTGCTCTAAATGGTCAAAGTGCTGTGCAGGTGTTAATTTAACTCTTTAGTCGTCTCACTCCCGCTGCGTTTATCAGAAAGGAGCAAAAGCAATTCAAATTCATCAGAAAGGACTGAAAGCACTTCAGGTGCCTGGTAACCCCCCATTCTGTGTTCAAGCCTTGCAGAGCTCAAGGAGCGTTTGGACAACGCTCTCAGGCAGGTGGGATTTAGGGGGCTGTCCTGTGCAGGGCCAGGAGGTGGACTCGGTGATCCTTGTGCGTCCTTCCAGCTCAGGCTGTTCTGTGATTCACTGTGGCCTTGGACGGTGCGGGGCGTGTGGTTGTAACAGCGGAGCCCGCCCCGATTCGGGGCACAAACTGGCCCGAGGTGAGAGGACCGGGACGGCTGTTTGCTGTGGCATTCCACGCGTGTGCCCTGCCCTTCCCGGCGCTCTGCGCAGCAGGCGCGGCGTTACTCCGTGTCCCGGCGGTCCCCTCCCGGACCCGCGGGTCATTCCCACGGGATGCAATCACAGCGCTGTGCCGTGTCCCGGCGGGGCGGGGGTCCGGCGGGCGGTGCTGCCCCGGGGACACGGGGACAGCCGCGGACACGGGGACAGCCACGGACACGGGGACAGCCACGGACACGGGGACAGTCACGGACACGGGGACAGCCGCGGCCGCGACCCGGCGCACGCGCCGTGTGTTCCCCCCCCCGCCTTCCCGGGCCCACTGTGACGTCACGAGCCTCCCGGTGTGTGTATGTGTGTGTCTGTGTCCCGCTCCCCCCTCCCCGCGCGCGGCCGGGGCCGCTGTGACGTCACGACCCTCCCGGGGTGTGTGTGTGTGCCCCCCGCTCGCGCCTCCCCGCAGCCCGGCGGGGTGTGACGTCACGAGGTGCCCGGTGTGTGTGTGTGCGCGTGTGTCCCCCCTCCCCGCACGCGGCAGGGGCTGCCGTGACGTCACGGCCCCTTTGCCCGCGAGCGCTCCCGCACGCGCTTCCCGCCGCCGCGCGCCCTCCCCTCGCGCCCCCCCTTGCGCCTCCCAGGGGCGCGCAGGTGCACCCGCTCCCCTCGGGGCAGCGCCGCGCGAGGGAGGGAGGGAGAGAGAGAGGAAGGGCCGGTCCTTCCCCGCTGCCCGCTTCGCCCCGGCTCTGCCCGCTCCGGCAGCCAGCGTGAGTCCCTGCTCGGTGCCAGCCCCGTCCCCGACGGGAGCGAGCCGCGGGCCGGGGTCGCTAGGGGGAGGCACGGCACCGGCGGACGGGCTTAGGCACTGGCGGGGCGGGGAGGGAGCGCCGCGCCCCCCGCCCCGCTTTTGCTTTCCCTTTTGCCACTGCCTTTCTCCCCGGCGGGCGCGGGGGAAGCGGGGAGGACGCGCGTTTGTTTATTTATTTATTTAGTTATTTGTTTGTTTGCTTCCCTAAAGGGCGAGGGGAGGGGAGAGGGAAGACCGGAGGAGGGCGCGGAGGCAGCGCCGTCACCAGAGGAGGCGGCGGCGAGGAGGAGGAGGAGAAGCCGGAGCCTCGCCTCGCCTCGCAGCCCCTCCGCCGTCACCGCCTCGCCGTCCCCGGCCGCCGGAGACACCGGCGGCCGCCCGTCCTCATGATGGCCTCGACCCCCTGCACCCGCTTCACCGACGAGTACCAGCTCTTCGAGGAGCTCGGGAAGTAAGGACCGGCCCGGGGGGTGAAGGCACCGTGGGGTTGCGGGCTCGGTGCGTGAGCCGCGCCCGGGGCTCCCCGAGCGCTGCCGAGAGCCCCGCGGGAGCGCCCGGGCTCCGGCCGTACGGCCCCGGGGCGGCGGGGGGCTCCGGGCGGGCGGTGGGGAGCTCTCACCTGTATTTATTTTTATGTATTAATTTTTATTATTTTTTTTTTTATGACTGTGAACTATTAGGGTGCCGCGGGTGGGGTGGGGGGTCTCTGCCCGTGAGGGGGCTCCCCCCAGCGGCGGGGCGGGGGGCGCAGCCCCGATCGCCATGTTGGGTGTCACCCCTCCGGTGTCACCGCCGAGGGGGACACGGGGCCACCGCCACCGCCGCCCTGCGCCCCCCCCCCCCCCGGGGCTCCGCCTGCCCTCGGCCGCACGGCTTCCACCCCGCAGAGTTCTGCTGAATGAAATCAATGCCGACCGTCACTGCCAGAAAAAAAATCAGAAAATCCCTTTCTGGGTTTTTTTGGGGGTTTGATTCTGCCGACATCACGCCCCTCCGTGCAGCCCGTTAGCCGGTAAATGGCAGTGGAGTGTTTCAGTGGGACTGACACTTTGCCCGCTTCTTGGTTTCCAGAGGGGCGTTCTCCGTCGTGAGGAGGTGCATGAAAATCACCACAGGACAAGAGTACGCTGCCAAAATCATCAACACCAAAAAGCTCTCGGCTAGGGGTGGGTATATTTTAACATGGTGTTTATGATACCTCCTCCCTTTTTCTTGCATTCATGTGCTAAGTGTTAAAAATGATAAAAATAGGTGAATTATTTAATAGATTTCTTAACACGTTTTTAACTATTATTTCTCTTTTGGGATTTTTTTTCTTCACTTGATGCTTTTTTTTCTATATTGAACATTCTGTGGATTGACTGCATGGAGGTTGCTGTAAAGCATTTCAAGAAAAGATGTGCAAAACCAGTTAAACATAATGCAGCCTCTTCATTTTTGTATCCAAGTAATTTGAGTATCAGCAAAATTTTGAGTGTCAGCAAGCATTTTGCAAGCTGATATTTTTGCGGAGAGGTTGGTAAATAATAAGTTTCCATTACAGATTTTATCTTAAATATTATAGTTTTACTGAATTTTCACCTAACCACGAACATCGAGGCCCGTCTGACTATGAATGCATGAGGAAAAGTGTACTTTTACCTCATAGTAAACTTTCTCATGAGATGAAAGCTATGCTGAGGAAGAAAAATATCATTTTTGCACTAAGCAAGGAATTCTGAGGAAGTGCTGAACAGCGTTACTGTTCCAACGCTGCTGCACAGCTTGTTTCTGCCTTCCTGGGGGGTGTGTGTGTGTGTTCCCGGGAGCTTGTCGGTATCAATGGCCGGGTTGTCAGGATACATTGTAGGTAAATATCCCCACGGCGTGGGTTGTTGTTGTGGAAAGGAAGCCTGAATGGTGCCGTGTCGATTGCTCCTGAATTCCCACTGCCAGTGTGAATTCCCAGTCCCGGTGCTTGTGTTCGGATGTCCGGGATTAGGGAGCGTTGGCCCTTAAGGTTATCTGTGTTTTGATACGAGTTTGCGGGGTGGTAAAGAACATGGGAGTGAACAAGCAAACAGTGTCAGAGTGGTAGTCTGTTCATGGCCTGGTTTGCTTCTGACCCGAAGGAATCACTGCAGGTAAATTAAATTTAAACATAAAATATTGCATAGAACATAATGGCATGTTCTGTTAATATGTTGCTCTCTGATAAAGATCTTTTAGCGTCGTGTCAACACTCTTATTTGCAGCTGATGAAAGTTGTGTGAAAATTTACTTTTTGCTGAATTTTAGTCTTCACACTCTCACTATGAGGTTTGTTTTCCTTTATTTTTCAGAGGGTACTTAAATTTAAAATTTTTTTTTAGAGTTATGATCTTAAAGAGAGGGAGGTTAAGAAATTCATGATACTTGAGATAAAATATTTTCACAAGTTTGCTTAAAACAAATACTTTTTTTAGTTTTTTGGAACAATAAGGCGATCTGTTGAATTTTGATGCTTAAAATAAAGCACGATATCCTGTGTGATTTCATAGATCTAAGTAACTTTCCATAGCAAGATCACCACCAGGTGCCAGTTACCAGCTGATCCAGTGCCATGGGGTATGTGTATGATGGGATAAATCCTGAAATGCTGAGCTAAATTAGTTAATTTTTGTACTTTGTTCATGCAGGGCCAGGTTGGTCCTTACTGTGGTCCAGCAAAGAATGGGAACATATTTGGAAGAAGCTGGCTCATAAAATGGAACGAGGCAAATTTCACACAACTTTTTCTGTAGGACATAAAACCCATAATGGAAGGGGCTACACTTCAAAGCTGGACTGTGAAATACCCTTTCTTATCAGAACATGTGTGATGTCCATGAATGCAGGGAATACCTTCCCCTCTCTGTTTCCAGACATCCCAGAAACGTTGGAGGTTTTTTTGGGGAGGTTGTTTTGGTTTTCAGTGCTTTGACATCCACTAAACAGCTTCCAAAAGCAAGATTCTTGGAAAAAAATCTTCTGATTCTTATTAGGCAGTTCTTTAATTGCAGAAAGATGCCCTTGAATGACGCTTACGGTGCCAAAAACGAAACACTAAAAAGCCTCAAACTGTGATACTTTCTCCTGGCTGATAACAGGGGTGCAGTTCATAAGTAGGGTGCTGTTTTTCCAAATCTAAGTTCTGTTTTGCTCCATCCGAACTGCTCTGTGAGGAGGTAGCAGTTCACTTCTGTGTTTTGTGCTTGCTTGAAATACCAGTTCCAGTGTAAATCAGGGGGTCAGCTTCATCTGTGAGCAGAGTTAAGAGGTGGTTCTTGGCTTGGAAGTGTGTATCCCTTGTACAGTGCCTGGCTCTCTGGAAGCCTTTTAAACAAAATGTCAAATCTGGGCCTTCTCTTGTCAGATTGAGGAAGAGCAGTGTCAGTGTATGATATGGCAGAGTCAAACCTCTCAACACTAAATGAAAGCTTAAGGTAGCTTTGAAATTAGAAGTTATTTACTGCATTTAGCCCAATCATAACAATACTTGTCTCCTCAGCCCTCCTTCACCTCAGCCGTGAATGTTCTTGGAGATTTATCCAAATCCTTACTTTAGCAGTCCTTCTAAACTGAGGAACTGATCTGGGCACAGGCTAATGCCAGTGAAGATGTGTCCTCATCTGTTTCCTTGTATAGTTACAGGGAAATTTCAGGCTAATTGCGTGTGTGCAGAGGCATGGGATTGAGCTGGAGTTTGGAGGGGAAAGGAGGCTGGGTCCCCTTTTCTAACAGGAGCAGCCTTTGTGCTTTTCAGGTTGATAGTTGTATTTATATAATTCTGGTTTGGTGCTTTTCTGATTTTAGCAATAGAAATAATACACATTTGCAATTTAAATCTATTTCAGTGTAGCAAAAACGCTTTTGCTTGTTAGAACAACATATATTCTCCTCTTGAAGTACCCTTAAGCTGCACTTCAAAGTTCTGAGCTTTGACTTGGCATTTTCTAAGTCAGCTGGAGTGTTAAATTGATACTAGAATATCAACAGCTAGTTTTGTATCAGTAGAGTATGTTCTAGACTGGCTTGCACAAGTTGATTATGATGCTGATTTTAAAAGGAGGGGAAAAAAGATATTCTCTAAAATTAAGTGCAACGGTGAACAAGTACAGAGAAAGTTAAGAATAAAGTGAAGAACATGTGTTTGCTGATTCTGGGTTCTGTATTGTGTCATCTGATGAAGTTCTTGGGATTTCCTTACTACTCAGCGTGTGCTGTTTTGGTCTTATCTGTGTTGTTTTGGTTGTTTTGTGCTTTATTTTAAGTGTCGAAATTCAACAGATCACCTTATTGTTCTAACAAGTTAAAAACCATGCAGATAAAAGTGAACTTCTGTGAGGTGACTTTACTTTCCTCCTGTCTGTTCCAAATACCAAATAATGAGCAAATAGCCTGTTTCTTTTTGTCATTATCTGTACATCTTTTATCTTCTCTTTTGAGAGTCTTCTGGCTTTGATCCAAATTGATTTCACATAAACAGATCAATTTTCTTAAAAGGTTTGGCCATCGTTTTCTGTCTTAAAAAAAAAAAAGGAATTAGACAAGTGTTTCAAGTGTTGGCTTCTCTGATTGTGCTTGAAAAGGTGAATTACTGATACATTTTTACTGGGTGTAATTCTTGCCAGTAACTCATGGTGACAGTTCCTCTGGTGGCCAAAAGCCCGGTGCCTTAGGTGGCGGTTTGATGGCATCCGTGTGAGGAGGATCACGTTCCAGTCCCTTTCCTTTTCCAAGGAGCTTTTGTAGAAAGACTGGACACACCTTTCCCAGCCCTTGGATTGCTGCAGCAGAACTAGGAGCACTTTGTTTATGGGCACAGGAGTAATGTAAGAATCAGCTGGAGGTTATTGCTGCTCGTGAGCTTTCAGGGACCAGCCATTCCATCAGCTTGGAGCTTAGCAGGTGTCCTTGGGGATTTACTTTCCTTCTTAGCAGGAAAGCTCCCAAATCTTTTTCAGCGTCTTTCCAGTTCTTCCAAGAGAGGGTATTTGCTGTGAGCTTGTGCCTGCAGATGTGAGGCATAGCCAGAGGTGACCAGACCGATCTCACTGACCTGCACCAAGCTGCAACCCCCGCCCCTTGGGAACAGTCGGGTGGCACTACGGAGCAATCAGGCTGTGGGAAGAGCGTTTCAGCGTCTAAAGCTGTCCAAGTAGGGCACCTCGTGATCCCTACAGTGATTCAAAATACATTAGGGAGATGAATGAACTGGGAAGCACACAGGGTAGTGTTTTTCAGCGCAGCTCTTGGTGACGCAGAGATAAACGTTTTTGATGTGTCACTAGAGCAACATTTCCTGTAGTCAGGTAACCTGTGTCAGTCAGTGCCAGATGTTTGACAGGAAGGCAGGCTCTAATAAGCCTTCCTGTACTCCAGGGGAGGAGAAAATAATTCTTTCTAATCTAGCTAAAGATGTTAATCCCTGAAGTGCACGTTTACCTGGGCGAGTTCATTACAACGCACGTCTTTTTAATGCTCGTTTCTGTTCTTACGCACGCGTGACGTTATTCCCGCACGGAGAGTACCCTCCTTAAGGGCATCCAGTTGTCACTGGGGCAGTTGCTGTCTTGGTGAAGACAAGAATTAAGCTTGGGATTTTAGCTGCGGTCTGTTTCTCTGTTAATTACCTGTCATTAAGAATGTTTTGAAACTGTTTTTTCCCCAGTATGTAAGAATGCTCACCTGCCCCTTTTAACGTTTGTGCTTGATGTTTGCGTTCAGCTTAGTCATGGCATTCTTTTCGGTGTGACATAGTTGTAACACAACATGTTTGTTTGCGTTTTTACCTGCAAGTCTTTTCAATTGCAAATTACTGTAATTTAGCAGGCTACCGGTTCTGTTAAAATCAACTTCATTCACAAAAACTCAGGCTAGTAGAGAGGTAAGAGTATTATTTAAAAAAAAGGGATTTTTGGTTAGGTGTTCTGTTTTGTGAAGGTTTGGAGCTTTTGTTGGTTTTAGTGAAAATCTGAAGACCCTTCAAATAGCAGTGAGAATGAGGACTTTAAATCTCTGTGGTGAGTGTTGGTTGGTAGTAATTTATTCTAACAGTTCCAAATAGGTTTGAAATGAAATGTCCTGGCAGTTCATAGTTAAATTATTCATAGCAAATACTATGTGATTTTCATAATGTCACTTCTGGGTTTTTTGCAGAGGAGTT